TTGTGCCAAAATACGTTTTTCCCAAATAGCTCAAATGTGAACGGCAGAATTGTCCAGAGATTTGATACAAAATCTGAGGCAGCCACATTGCCAAGCAACTCAGTGCACTTAGATTATAAAAATGTTGTTCCACAATTTTCTATTCTAATTGACACTTTGCAGCAAGTTAACACTGTCAGTCATTCTGTGCATTAGAAAGAATTAAAACCCAACATGGGCCAAATATTCTTCAATCACACAAAGCAGCTTAACAATAAAAAGAATCGTTTAAAAAAGAATAGGCAGAAGATATGATGTTCAGTTTGTGGCCAAAAATCAGTTCATGGCAGTCTCTGACCACAAGGAGTTGAGGGCTCTAGAATCCTGCAGGAGTCAGGATTAATCTTCTGTCCATCTAACGTGTCTGCTTTCACTCAGTGCATGAGACTACATCTGGTCCTAAGGACAACATTCACTTTCTGCTTTTAAAAGCTGTGTCAGAATCACTTTCAAGTTACATAGGAAAGTGCTGAAATATTTGTGGCTGGCTCATGTCAGGAAAACCATTCTCCTCTTCCTCCTTAGAGAACAATAGCCTGTCTCTTCAGTTTGGCACTTGAAGTCGCACCAGGTAGGAGAGCAAATTATTCGAATGACATTAGATTAGCAGGTACCTAGAAGAGAATGTAAATTATTCAGCAGTATAATGCTCCTGAACCTATTGTGGCATTGGGAAGGTTACAAAACAGAGTGGGCTAATCATTTATTACCTAATGTAGAAAGTCATCAGTCCCAAACGAGGGCTAACCCCATAACGGAAAGGAAAGGTAAAGACTGAAATGATTTTTCTATTCATGGGCCAAATCCAGACAAAGTACTCTTAAGAAGTCATCAGCATGCATGGAGGTGGGGGGAGGATGTGTGTGTAAAGATTCTTGAGCTGCATCCTGTTTGTGGTCCTATATGGATCAGCATCCTATTAATAAAACCTTTGGAAATCCTTTTAAGAATGAACAAGAGAAGAATGAGGCTGCTATATAAAGAACAAACATAGCATTTTATAGGACACCCTCTTCAATGGCACTTACACAGTAATTGGAGTAATTAGCATGCTTGCTTTGTCTGTGAGAAAGCCCCTTCTGAAGTAGAGATGGGGTTACCTCCCTTGAAGCAGTGTATGTAGAGGTTATATGCTATTAACATAACCAAACCTATAGCTAGACCTGCACAAATCCTAATTTGGTGGGAATTCTGCAGTTTAAAATAATTTTTATTCCTCCTATTGAAAAATTGGATCAATGTACAAAATGAGGAATTATGTCTGTCCCCACAAGACTGTGTGCATACATAGACTGAAGAGAGATATCTTTTCTAATAAGGATTTTCTGGAAAATATAACAAAGTGGGTAGAAATAAGTTTCACAACCTTACCTGAGGCCTGTTGCTTTTGCATGCATCATCCAAATGCTTATGCCATAATATTGCATGAAACCTTGAACCCGTCTGGAACTTGTAAACATTGCCTACAAAAATAAAAAAATCAAAGGCTCTATATTTGCAGACAGACATGTAGTTTCAAGGGATTCTAATTTCTGTGCAGAAGCCAAAGTCCTGAAGTAAACTGTTACATTAACTTGCACCTCAAATGCTCACACAGGATGTTGCTCATACAACAGAGACCATGCGAGGCATGTTATCCAACAATCCTTAGGTGAAGGGAATATGAGAACATAAGTGGCCTGCAAAGCTAAGAAGAGTGTATAGGCAGAGAGGCCAAATTACGGCCACAGAAAAGACCACTTAGGTCACATCTAATTTACTCCTGGCTTTCTTCTCATTAAGACTGCTGTGGTTACAGTCAAGTGTCTTACGAATGTTTTTGATATTTGTGAACTTAGTTTTCTTCCATGTCCTACTGCGAGTTTCCTCTATGTCTCGTTATTTTGTAAACTGTTTCTTGCAATCAAATACTTTGGGCATTTTAGTCAATACCCAAGAGATCCACTTTGCACAGTAGATGCAAATCCATGTCCGGCACCAAAGCTGAAAACGTGGAAAATGAAGGAAGCTTCAAAAATCTTTAGGTAACCACTCAAAGTGCGAAATAACTCCAGGGACTTTATGATCTTTTGAAGTTTTTGAAGTTTAATCAATGTGGAAGAGTTACGGCACTTCAAAATAAATTATTAAAAACTTACTTAAAATGCTTTTTTTGGTAAATGGTTTGATGTTTGAAGAATTTTCATAATATTTGAATTAGCCTCAGTGTAAGTCAAGATTTGATGTTGACCAATTTTAAGAAAGCTATTCAGAAACTTGGGAGACCAGGGTATGCAGGAACATGGACATGCAGCAATCTCGTATTGGTTGGGAAATTTCTGCAAAACTTATGGTAACCATCAAGATACAGCAACACCTCTATAGGCACCATAGAAACACCACAGCACATTGTAGAAATACGTTCAATTTCATTTGTACCCTCCCTCGAAAGTTCTGTATTGAAAATTTCCCTCTTCAGTCTTTTAAATGAGTGCCACTGCAAGTTCTGGAATCTACAAACTCATTAATAGAGATTCATCTACCTCGTAGCACAGAAATATAACGCAGACAATGTCCATCCTGCAACATCTACCTTTGTCAGGATTATTTAGCTGGAAAATATCAGGATGCTCAGGGTCGTCAGGCAGTGCCACCATCCAGCCCACAACGGAGACTTTTTTACCAGGTGTAGATTTATACTGGAAGAGACAGAGAAGGCAGTCACAGCTGAGACTGTACTAGGGATTAACTGTAGACTGTAAAAGTTGTGCAGACATATGGCTTAGCCTGGAACAGCAAATACGCTTCAAACACTCTTCCAGGTCTGCTTATGAATACACAAATTTTTTATTTTAGAACAAATTTAGAGCTTACATGTTTTCTTTCAGTGCCTCTTAAAGATTTTGCTCCAAAGTACAGAAGAGTTGATCCTGAAAGCATAACCCAGTACCTAGTCCATGAGGAGAGCTGAATCAGAAAGGAAAAAAATTAGGAAAAACTCTGCGTATCTCTGAAATTTCAAAAATCTATTCACAAGCAAGTCCAAGTTATACCAAAGTTAATTTCAGAAGCAAGGAATGGCAAGTTAGATAAAGAGTGTTTCCTGGTGTAAATCAGCCCAACTATCTAAATCTGGATGGTTGGCTGTGAATACAATCCATCTTACTTGGGTATCTCATAAAAATATCAGGACTGATTGCTTCACAGCAAAATAGTGTGCTGCCTTCTACTGGACAGATCTTAGACTTCTGCATTTGATCAATAAAATTTATTCAGATGACACATCTGCAGCTCTTCAAATCTTTTAGCACTGAACAGTAGAGTTGCACATAAAAAATATCAATGAATTCTCCAGAAAACAAAAAATTACCAAACTCGTAGAACGAGAACCATGTGAAACCCATAAATTTAGGTTAAGTATGAAGTACCATGACTTCGGTGCTATGGATGGATGTCCTGCAGCATTCCCATTTCACCACGATACTGAATTTCTGCCCTCACAGAAATGCGTGCTGATTTATAGAGCTGCTTTACTCTTGCTCTGCTGTCACAACATAGAGACATTACTTGCAAATGCAGGAAGAAGCAAAACTGCTGTAGATCAAATGACATACAAAGGTTATAACCTTGTTACAACCCAGGCAAAACTTTAAACAGAAAATGAGTTTACAATTGATAATAACAAGGAACATGGCTTTGTGTGGTATCAGGTTGCAGGTTTAATCTGATCCTGGAAACTAAAAGAGCCGCTACTGAATTAGAATCACAGGAGGAATTAGAATTAGAATCACTTACAGTAGGTTTCTTGCCTTCTTTGAGCAATGTTTTTCTTCTTAATGGCCCTTCCATGGTAATGACTCCTGTGGAACCACCTAAGGTGCAGCTGCAGGCCCCTGTTGGGCTGAAGAGACAAAACATTGCCGTACGTATTTGAGCAGACAAATAAGGACAAGAAGCAGGCAATATAATTTAGCTCTAAATAGATTTTTTCTGCATTGCCTTACATATATTGTATTGTCTGACATTTGATGCTATGACATGTATTTTTCCAGACCTAGATATCAAATAGGAACCAGGATCTTTGAGAAATGGCAAATCAACAAAAGGTTCTATTCTGGGGGCTTAGACATGAAAAAAATAAAACGGAATAAATATTGAGGCCCAAAGACCAAGGGAAATCAGGCAATTTTCTATTTCGTTCTGGTAAATTATAGAAATTATCTCAATTTCTGGAAAGTTATGGCTTAAAATTTTGGCAGTAAGAGCTCCCACAAATGTAATTTTATCTTAAAATAAACTTTAGCTGTCAAAAAAGAATGAAGGAAATTACCTTGGCTAATTGGAAAAGAGGTGGGAAAACTATATAACAATGCCAAATAATTTATTATACAGTGATTAAAATATCTTTTTCTTTCCCAGGACGAACATAGAGCTTCCCACATACAACACTGAAAAAGTGCCACAACTGAAAGAACCCAAGTACAGGCTAAGTTAGAAACATAACAACCATTAAGAACATAACAACCAAAGATGGATTGGCAGGTGATGGTCTGTTAGAATTATCTGCTGCTAACCTTTCTTCATTGCCATGTGATCACAGCCCTGATATTCTTATAAGGGCCAATGAAGTTTACCAGAGCCAACTAAATCACGCCTACTAAGGAAACTAAGGAAACTTTCCTTTACTAAGTAAAAGGACATGTGTGAGATCCACCACTCAGTTGTTACAGGAACATTATTTTGTCTATGAACAAGTATGACAGTGTCATATACACATATGCTGGTAAAAGTGATATACACAGCAACACCACCTATGCAAAAGCAGCACTTCAAACTGGCAAGTGCATCTTCTTCGATTAAATGGAATTGCCTTGTCTGTGCTAATGTGTGTTCCTGCCAATTCTAATTTTCTGACAGAAGCAGTGGAAGATTCCAGAAAGGGCAGAATGAACGCAAGCATTAGAATTACTCGACGGTGGATAAACGTAAGAAATGTATTTTAGGGAATAACTCCTCTTTGTGGATTTAATAGGCTTTTCACATTTTTATCTTCTTATATTTTCTACTTGTAGCTTGTATCCATTTTTGAAAGAAATCTACCATGGACATGTTAAGAGAGTATTTTCCAGAAGCAGGTACCATAGCTGAAATATTGTTCCAAAATTTATTCTTTTACTTATTTATAATGTACCCATTTTTATTCCTGTCTAACTTCTAACTTGTGCTGCTATCAGATGTTACGAGCTCAAGTAAAATGGCCGTACTTACATTTACACATTGTATCGACACTTCCACAATGGCTGAGGCCAGCTAATTTATACAAAATAAAAACTGACTGGATTTAAACGCCAACTAAATCTCAGTATTTGCACAATACTGTTTCAGGGCCCTATTTTCTTCATTGTTCATATATTCTTCTTCACTTCCCACTACCACAGAATTTATCAAGTCCAGGTCAGGTATGGATGCAATGAATGATTTTTATCCCTCTAACCATACACAATTTTCCGTGTCACCTCTCTTTGGGCTGTAAATGGATTACCTGTTTCTGAAAAGTCCATGTCTTAGTGATTAGCAACATTGAGAGTGCCTGCTACATATGGCATTGCAGATGTTCCCTCTCTTACTCGGGGTCCAAGGTAACACCTCTTTACCGTACCAAATCAACACATCATACTATAGCTCTCTGACACAAACAGATGTTATGGGTAGCTGTCCTGCAAATCAGGAAATAAATTGTGAGAAAGGGTCAAGAAGGTACCCTTCTAACATCATTATTTGTCACAGAAGGCAAAGATGGCCTTCATGACAAGCCTGCTTCTGTAATGTCATAAAACCCAAAGTGAAAATAGTTTTCTGCAATATGGAAGCCAGACATAATTAGTTAAATCAATAGCTAAACTAAAAATCATCTGAATGGGCCATACCCCCTGCTTTAGCATTAAGAGGAATTTTCACAAGCAGGACGGGAAGACTCCCACGAGTCGATATGGTCATACAAGGATACTTTTGGACACAAAATATATTACGCTAGCAAAGTGTAGACACCCAAATGAATGTTCGGCACCATACTCTGAGCAAGGTAGACTCTGAACTGTACCTGTAGACACAGCTTCGACTCCTAGGAGAACTCCGGATCGGTACCCTCCAGTTAGGCCCCAATGTGGCATATAAACGACCCCTGTTCAAGAATGCAAATATCTGATGAGGGAAGTTCTAGTCTGAGACTACAACTGTTAGGGTTTGGTAAACATGACAGAGACAGTTGCCAATCTTTTCATGTCCATGGGAAGAAAAGCACAATAACTTTACAGTGCTTTATTTCAAAAAGTTTGCCATTTTTTTCCTAACTAAGCAGTAATTTGGTAAAAATAACTATTAATTTAGGGCTTACCTATGTTAGGGATCATTCGTGAATTTCTTAGCTAAGTCTGTAGAGTGCTCAGTGACTGTGCATGAAGACTAACTCACCTTTCAAGCCCTGATGGCAGCTCCTCACTAAATTCTGAGCTTTCACTGCTATCTAGAAAAAGAGTAGTACAGAGAAGGAGTAAGAAAACCACCCAAGGGAAAATACAAAGCCAATGTATGTGGATCACCAGAATAATCTTTATACAGTACCACAGAAATTGCTTACTCAAATCATGTTTCAAAGTTGAAGTCTTTAGAACTCATGGTAAAATCTAAAACTGGAAGAGGCTTACGTGAGCTTTCCCATTTATATCTCACTGATGAATGAAGTTACTGTAACTGCTGTGTTTAAATACCAGCCATCTACATGTTACTTTAATTTTCATTATGTTGCTTTTCCTTCAAAAGGTGAGCACTTCAGAAACACAAAATCCAGTTACTTTGTAAGACAATACTTCTACTGCAACATCTGTCAGCTGATTAAAGTTATTAGACCTGGTATCGTTTGTTTTCAGCAAGCAAGCACATCTGTAACAGAGGATATGCCAGCTGTATGCTGCTGCTAGGAGCCATAACAAATAGCATTCACAATGGTAGTCCTTATTTCTCCTCCAAGCCCATGACTGATTTGTCCCTCCTTCCCTGGCACAGCTATTTAGCTCACAGTTTTAATTTGCCCAGGACGGATCTTCTAATGCTCAGTACAACACAGTGAGCTGCACCTGTATTTTCAGAAGTTCAGAGATCATCTCAGTGTCAAACTCTTCTCGGTCAAGTAACCTGCTATCCTTCGTCTGTTTCCTATTCTAGAAATAGCCTGAGTCACTAAAAAGGCGACTTTCTCTCGCTTAGAACACCGATTCTCAATCATTTTGGTTTTATTATAATCACTATTTCATTAATTATAGTACCATAACACAAATTGTCATCATCTTCTTTCACAAGGTCATTTTATGGGTTTTTTTGAAGCCTCAGAGAGCACAACTAAACTATTCTCCCATCTTCTAAAATGTATCGTTAAAATTAAAGTTTTCCTTTTGAAAAGGTAGCTTTCAAAATACATATCTGCTTTCCAGTAGCGCTTTTTAAATTTTTTCCTGATGAAAGCTGACAAAAACTCTGTGTTACGTACAGAGCATATGCACAGACAATTTTCTTTCATGCCGCGTTTACCAAAACCATCAGTAGGTAACTGAGGAATGCTGAGATAATGTTGACTAGGTAGCCGAGTAGCAGTTCTGACCTACTTTCTTCCATGAAAGGGACCAGCCTTTGCACAGGAGCTAATTCCCTACTTCTGGGTATCTCTGTGCACCTCCTGAGCTCTGGGACAGAAAAGCAGGGACGTCAGTCGCTTCCGCACGCAGACTCTACCTATGGAAAGGCCGTTGGAGAAGAGCGAGCTCAGCACGTGGCCGCGGGCCGGGCTGTGCGGCTCCAGGACGCTGTCATCCAGGAGATGGCGCGGCCGCTCCGTCGGGAAAGTGGCACTTCTGCTCTCCACCACGCTGAGCTGACACATCATGCTGGGAAATCGGGGAGAAGAACACAGACCCCTCATGTCATCCAACAGCGACCCTTGGCTCCGGGTACTTCCACTCGGACTTTGCCCTACTGACAGGTTATTAAGTAGGAGGCAATTAAAGGGCACTGCTTACACTTTCCCTCTGCTGCACGCATGCTCCTTGACTACTAAAACAAGTTTCAGATTTTAGCGGTCTTTCCAAGTAACAATTATTACATTTCTGCAGATGGGAAGTTTTAAGTTTTTTGACTCCCCTCTGTACAAAACCTGAACACCATGTGTGGAGGCAAAGGTAGAAAAACAGAAAAAGGAGACCTCAGCTAAGCCACTGCTTAGCGATCCTTCGCTAAGCTGAACTAACTCATCAACACCTCTGACTTTGGATAAGTTACATGAACTTCTTTTTCCCTAACTTGTTAATTGTGAAATTTGGTAGAAGCTGAAACCTTAACTGAGGAGCAGGTGCTCTCACTTAGCTGGGTATAAGGCAGAGAAAAATGCTTCTAATACATATTACCCAGATAAAACAGTGCAAAAGGTCACAACTTTCCTGAATGTGCCAAGCAGCTAGCAACATTCCTTAGATAGGTTAGCAAGATGTGTAAAAAACAAAACAAAACAAAAATCGGTTATGCACACCAAGAATCCACAGACCAAAGTGGATACACAGCTTTCAAGTACTGTCAATGTCTGGCACTAGCAGAGAATAGAGTCAGCAAAAATAACAAAGTGTCAAGAGAAAACCTAGAGAATACACAGCAAAGCCTGAGGCACTCTTGCAATACAAGAAAATGGAAGAGACAAATACCAGAGTGTTCTGCTGCTACCTTAAACCTTTGTGATGCATGACATTGCCTGAGTGTGGGACAGCCTGGAGTAACTCACTTGTTTCCCAGGCTGTGACTCTTCCTGTGCCTTGGTACAGGAGGTGTAGGTAGACTTGCTGCTACTGAGGCATCGGGACACGTGGGTCTCCTGCT